TTTTTATTTTTTTGGTGACAAATGGTTGCCAGGTGGCTGGGGGGTGTGCCTGTCTCTCACAGATTGTCTGTGGGAGTGGGCTTGGGTGCTCAGCTTCATCTGTAACCCTCCCAGGAGGTGAGCTGGGGAAGTGTGGAAGCATGGGGTAGTATCCAGGCATGGAATGTGGTGTACAGGGAGCTGCTGGAGAAACATTGCCAAATTTTGCTTTTTTCTTAATGCATAACCTGCTACTGGAAACTCATGATATTCATGTCAGGTGCAGCACTGATTTTCTTTTTTTCCTTGTTAGCATTGAACACACTCTTTTGATGAGGTTACTCTCTTATTTACGTTACCACTCTCTTCCTCCCCAGCCTAATGAGCTTTGTGCTGCATCTCACAAACTGAATTCCTGTGCCCTGCTTGTTCTTGCTGTTAGTGGGAAGGACCACTGGACCATGCTGTCTGCACTGTTTGTTCAAAGCAGGATCAAAATTAATGGGAAAACTGTGTACGTGGCAATCTTAAGAACCCAAAATGCCACTGTGCCTCACCTGCTGGGGGTAGCAAATTAGGTAACAGAGCAGCTCGCTTCAAAGTCCGGGGATAAAGAATTCCTGAGGCAGGCATGGAGAGGAGGGGAGCGATGAAATACTACAAAGTGTCATTGATTCACAGCCTGGGCTGGGCACTCCGTGGATGTGCTACAGCAAAATGGAGCTGTGTGTGAGTCCAGCCAGCTCTGCTGTCCCCTGTGACAGCTGTGTCTTGCTTGGAAGAGTTTTGGGCTCAAAATGTGGTGGTTTGTTTCAGCTCTTGGACTTCTGTTGAGATCCCTCTGAAGTGCTGCTGAAGGTTGTCTGAGTAGTGCCTTGGCCTTGTCTTGGAAATGACTCCTCAGTGTTTATGACCTTGCAAAGCCAAAGTGTTGGAGCTGGAGGGGAGGAAGGAGAAAGGGAGGGGGTTGTTTCTGACCCAGAGTAGAAAATCACTGGTGCTGTGAGCTCCTGGGGGACTTGTGGCACCAGCTGTCCTGCGTTATCATCTCAGAGCTAATGTCCTGTGGCAAGGGAGCTTTCACTGGGAACCGCTGCTGCTGCCTGCTCGAGGCACCGTGGGGAGTGAAGATGTTGGTGACAGTGTCACAGTGCTGGGAAGAAGCATTTTGCTGGGAAAGAGACCCGAATGCTTTCTGGAAGGGTGTAGATTTAGGTTAGATGTTAGGAAGATTTAGATGGGCTATTAGGAGGCAATTGTCCCCTGTAAGGGTGGGGAGGCCCTAGCACAGGGTGGCCAGAGAAGCTGGCGCTGTCCCATCCCTGAAGGTGTCCAAGGCCAGGTTGGATGGGGCAACCTGGGCTAGTGGAAGGTGTCCCTGGCCATGGCAGGGGTTGTAACTGGATGATCTTGAAAGTCCTTTCCAACCCAAACCATTCTGGGTTTCTGTGTCTTGTAGGATTTCTCTGAGCCCCTCAGAAGGTCCTTTTCCTTGGAGAGGTTTCCTGGTCACACAAAGGGAAGGAGAGGAGCAGGAGTGTGTCCCACAGGGGCGGTGTTTGTTCATGGGATGGGAGGGTTTCCACTGTGAGGGCGTATCAGGGAATCCACCTCTAATATATCATCAGGAGAGCTCATCAGTGGCTTTGGACAAACTGCCTGCAGAGTAAAGAAGGAACAGACCCAGTGGCCAAGGGCAGAAGAGGAGGGAGAACAAAACAGGAACTTTTCTCCCCAAACTCCTATTCCCGTTGTGATAACAAAAAGGATGAGCAGCTCCAGGGCAAGTGGGAGATGCGATATTGCCCACCACGGCTGCAAGGACTAAAGCCAGCAGGATCAAAAAGCAGCCTTTGGGCAGTAGCAGCAGCATCACTCAGTAAAGGGAGGGTTTTTCTCCAGGTATTGATCAGCAGTTAACAACAAATGCCCAGCATGGAAATAAATACAGGTTGTGTGGTGGTGCTGCAGACTGAGCCTGAGGCCACAGGGAGCTCTGCAATAACTCAGCTGTCTCTTCTGATGCACAGTGGAGCAGGTGAGGCTGATTCACTCAGGCCTGGTGACTGCAGCTGCTCTGCCTTCTTAAGCAGGTAACTGAGGGTTTGTATGACTGACAGGTGCCTTAAATCAGCTGAGGGTGTCTCACCCCAATAGCTCCTTGGAAATTCAGCCTAGCTTTTGTGGGCACATTCACCTTAGGGCAGGAGAGTGATATTTAAAAGCACTGGCAGTTTTGGGCACCCTCCTGGTGCCACTGCAGTTCTGTTCACAGATGTGGCTGTTGTGAAGGGGAAGGAGTGAGAGCCCACCCGGTGTGTCTTACCCACCTCACCAGCACAGTAAAATTTGGGTTCTGAATTGTTGTGTCTGGAGCTCAGGTGTGGACTGCAGCATCAGGCTCCCATTTTGATTAGTGGTGCATAGCTTTCATTAATTAATGCTGTAAAATACCTGCTACAAACCTGCTGGTTTCTGTGCAACAAACCAGAAAAATCTGACTGTAGGTGTTTTGGTTCTGGGGCACGTTTTGTGTGTTCATTGCCAGAAGTCACCAGACAGGAGGGAGGAGTTGGGGAGAAGTTTTTTTGCTGTCTTTGTGGTACCATCTTCTGACAAGATTTGAGGAACAACCTGAGACACACTCCAGGTGTAGTTTAAGGGATACTAGATTGATTTTTATTTCACTTGCTTCCATTTACACTGCTGGGAGATTTAATTGGGCTTTAGTGCATGGAACTGTGGTTTTTCCTTACAGAGCTTCAGAAAGCAGGAAACCAGCAAAGTGGGGAACAAGCCATGATCTTTGCCCTGTGCCTCTGTCTTCACTGGCAGTAAGCACGGTGCAAAACCAACCTGTCTTACTTCCCAAACCTCTGTAGCAAGTGATCAAGTCTGCCATGTCAACAAAAAGCATGAAGACCTTTGCTTTCTGCTGAGGCAGAAAGATAATTTGTGGCTCAGGCATGAGTGAGATGTTAGGCGCCAAAATTATGACCACTCTGTCAGATTGGCTGGATAATTTTTACTCCTAAACCTTCCACCAAGATGATTTTCAGTGCTTAGAAATTAGTCTTACTCTGCAGAGCTGTCAGTGTCTCCCAGCTGTGTCAGTGTGTGCTCTAACAAATGTGTGTATGTGATAGAGCTGTTCCCTCATCATTCCCTGCACTCCTCCAGACACCTGGGAAGCTTATCTTAAGTGCAGCTCTCCTCTCCCAGGGGTCACTTTTGTTAATTCATTTTTTGGTTTGTTTTCCAGTAGCGTAGGAAACTTCTATAACAAGAATAGAATTGTTGTGGGGTTGTTGTTTGTTTTTTTCCTAGGCTATGTAGCTACACAGGGAGAAAGATTTCATGTGTTGAGCAGATTATGCTTGAAATGGATGTGTGTGGGGGGTTTATTTGTAGAGGTAGGGAAATGAAGCAAGGAGAAATTGAGACCTCAAAGCGTTTAAGACTCAATTCTGAGTAAAAGTTTGTATCCTCAAAAGGTAGAAAGTTGTAAAGAGGGGCTGTGCTGAGGTTTCTTATCAGGTCTGAAAGGAGTGTCGATCCCCTTGCAGGAAAGGAACAGCAGATCCCTTGGGAAAGGAGCATCTGTTTGCTGACCTCTCCCAGCACTGACCCATGATCATGGATCGGTCACCTCCACTCCCACTAGTCCTCCCTGGGGACACCTGGCTCTGTAACAACACATCTCTTCCTAGCAGGAGGTGGGAGGTGCAAAAATATCCATCTGGAAGAGTTTTTGCCTTTGTTTCTTCTGGTGAAGGTGAGCTGTGAGCCTACAGTTGCCTCATCCTTTTGGCTCTGCTTCCTGACTGATTTGGGTTTCTATTATTAGCAGCTGATGTGCTGGTGGAGTCACTCTCCTCCTAACTCTGCTAATTAATCAATGTGCCCCGTGACAGCTCTTGACCATTAAATAATATTCATTAGTATCCAGACCCCAACAGTATGGATGAACCCATCTATCTTCATTAGCTCTTGGATTTCAACGTCAGGAGCAGGAGCCAAAAGGGACAGTGAAAGGGCACTTTTCTTCCTCATCCCAGTGAAAACTGACCTTGATGATATTTTGCTTTCTTCCCCTCCCTGCCCCTTGTGTGTTGGTTAAAGGAGCAGATGGGCAGGAGCTTCAGCTCCTCTCTTTATCCCAAGGGACCATCCTTGGGGGAAAAAAGAGGCAGGATGCTCTTTAAAGTTGGTAAATAAGGTATGATTATCCTCATTTTGAAAGGAATCCGAGAATATCTCTTGGGGTCACGAAGGAGAGAAAGTGAAGATGAATATTTATCAATGTCCAAATTACCTTCCCCATCCTAACAATTAACTTGGCCAGTGGTGGAGCCACATCTGCACACAGGTAACCCTAAATTGTCCAAAGCTGTCTGCACAACCTTAAAACTGGGAAGGAGGAGTTACACTTTTTGGAAGTGTTTCCTGACCCATGCAAACACCTGGTGTTTTCCTGGGAAGCCATGGCTGTGTGGTCACCCTTGCTCCCCAAAATAAGAGAGTACCGCTGTCCCTGCTCATCCGTGAGGTTATTTCCTGAATGTTCCTGCAACACAGCAAATATTTGGTCATGTTGGGAAGTCGTGTAATTTCCTTCCTGCCAGGTGAATCTTCCCTGGGGAAATTCTTCCTTTTGTCAGATTAAAAATATTTAAATTGAAGAGCTAGAAGGACTCAGTGAGGCCTCCTGAGATGTTGAATGTCCCCTGCTCTTGGGTTTTCCAGTGTGATCCTCCAATCCCCCATGAATGTGCTGGGGGTGGTGGATTTGTCTCCTGGTAACAATCCCATGGATGACCCAGGGAGGGATTGTGCAGTGGATAATTTCCCTGTGTCTCCCAGACCTTTTGAGCCTTGCACCCTGTGGCGTCGTGGGTGTTGGAGATGAACAAGAGGTGATATTTTTGCTCCTTGCAGGCTGCTGTACTCAGGCTTGCTGTCTGGTTTTCCAGTAGCATTCCTGGAATTAGGTTTTTGGGTTTTTTTCTGTTCTCTTGTAGATCTCAATTTGAATCCACCTCTGTTGATACGAGTCTGCTGAGAAGATGAAAATCAGCCGTTTGCCTGGAGCCACCACTGTAAGTTATTTATACAGTGATTAGTTAAAGCTTCAGATATTTAATGCAACCTTTAAATCACATATCCACCAACAGCAATTGGTCACATAAAACTTCATTGAGTGGTATCTATCACTTACTGTTTTTCTCAATATGTGCATATATTTAATTTTCCACAGACCTCTCGCTATATTTTCTGCTGAGGAACCAGTAAATCGAGGGGCTTCATAAAGTGTTTTGTTGCATGGCTCTGAGTGAATTACTTGTAAAGGGAGCATGGAATATAAAAATTCATCTTGCAAGGAAGTTGCCCTGTTGGATGAATCCCATCTCTATGTTACAACAGGCTCAAGCCTTAAAATGAAATGTATTTTCACAAGAGAAGTAGTTAGTAAAGGCTCTTCCACCCAGTCAGCTTTGAATATTCAACCTGGTTGGTTTTGCTTCTGTTTTTTTCCTCAATTGCCTCAGCTTGTGGGACAACAGCTGCTTTGTGCCAGGGATTCAAAACTATACGTATAAACACTTGAGTTCAAAGGCATGGTCAAAATTTAATGGTTTAAAGTTGTCTCAGAGAGCCAAGTTCTTAAGCTTAGCAGAGGAAATTGAACTTGAAAACAGCATAGGTAGAAAATAAAGCTGAATTATAATGAACTTAATTTTTAGAAGAAATGGGAATTGACATAAATGAGATAAGGTGCAATGCAGATACCCTGCATTGGGTAGCAAGAGAATAATCCAGCTGGGAGAGCTGGGCTGAGCCCAAACCAGCACAGACCCTTGAAGTGAAGCATTTGGGCACCTTATCTCACACCCTGGGGTGTGTTGAATTGCTCCACCAGGGTCTGTCCATGACCTCAGCTGGACTGACAGTGCCTGGGACTGGAAGGAAGGAGCCTGGGATTGGGTAGGTTGAGTGCCAACCTACATACTCAAGTGCTTCTGTGTGTGTCTCATCTTTGAGATGATCTCAGATTTGAGATTTCTCTCATCCTGGAGGCAAATTTGCCACTCATTTCTGTGGCAAATATACATCAGGCAGGGTTAGCTGCTGCTGTTGCTACAGCAAAGGCCTCAGTCCCTAGTCTGTGCTGAAAATAGGTCATTAATTAAATACTCTCTAAATATTCCTTCCTCCCCTTTTTTGAAACAAGGATGGAGCAACTGTGGCCAAACTATGTTGGTGGGCTAAATAATAACGAGAGAGTGGCAGGTAAAGGTGATGGGGAGTCCTTCCTGTGCCTTCCCACACAGCTGTGAGTACTTCACTGCAAGTCTCATTATAAACAGGGGCTTGACCTCTTTTTAACTGCAGTTAAAAGCAGTGTAGCCCCTTCCCAGCATTGCTATGCCACAAGGAAAGGGGGGAAAAAATGTCCATAGACTTCAGAGGACCTTTTCCAGGTGTGAGCGAGCTCCTGCTGCATCTGAAGTTCAGAGCCAAAGCCTATCTCAATACATTGTATTTAACTTTGTCCAATTCCCTTCCCATTTTCTGCAGTGATAAAACCCCTATTGCTCTTTCATCTCTCCCCGTTTTTTTCCCAAGTAGGTTCTGTGAAAGCGGTGTTTGGGGGCAGTAAATCACAAAATGGAAGCCTGCGTTCATAAAATGCTTTATGCCTCCCTCCATCAATATTTCAACGTGCAACACAGACACCAGCATTTCATTTTAATTACGCTGCAAATTTCCTGGCCGAGGGAGAAAGCTGAACTCTGCAAGGCAGCCCAACCCCATCCCCTCCTTGCAGCGGGATCCCTGCAATATCCAGTTATCCATGGGTTTTGTTCATCTGAGTCACGGGGCTGTGTGCATGCCCAGTGCACAGTAGGAAGGCTTCCAGCTAGGCCGAGTCTGGTCTGGCTCCTTCTTTCCTTGCCCTGGAGTGAGAGCAGGTCTTGGATGTGTCAGTGGAAGCTGGCGTGTTGCCTGGAGCCCTCCAGTGGGCAGGAAGGGCCATCCAGCACAAACAGAAGGTTTGGGAAGATAGGCTCTGACAGTGATTAGAGGCAAGGGAAGGCTTCCCTGCTACAGCAAGTGTCACACGTTTTAAAATTGTCCTTCCTGGGGTTGCTTTACTTGCAAGGACTGTTCCCGTTTGCAGAAGAGACAGAACAGTAACTGAGATGTTCAAGTCGCTGAATGACACTGCCTAGTCGCCCCGTGCCCTTGTGTAGGCAGCCCATTTTGGGAGGTCTAAGTGATGGTCACCTGCAACTGAAGGGCAGTACAGGAATCAAGAGTTGTTCACTCAGTTAATGTACCAAACTGCAAAACTCCTTGCCAGAATCACAGAACAGTTTGGCTTGAAAGGGGCATTAAAGACCATTTGATTCCACCCTCCTGCCATGGTCAGGGAAACCTTCCACTATCCCAGGTTGCTCCAGGCCCCACCTGGCCCTGGACACTTCCAGGGATCCAGGGGCAGCCACAGCTTCTCTGAGTAACTTGTGCCAGGGCCTCGCCACCTTCGTGGGGAGCAATTTCTTTCTAATATCCCATCTAAACCTCCCTCTGTCAGTTTAAAATCATTGCCCCTCTTCCTGTCACTATCAGCCCATGTAAAATGTCACTCTCCCTCCTTTTTTTACAACCCCATTTAGGCACAGGAAGGAGCTCTCAGGTCCCCCTGGAGCCTTCTCCAGACTGAACAACCTCAGGTCTCCCAGCCTGTCTTTGTGGCAGAGGTGCTCCAGCTCCCAGAACATCTTCATGGCTGATACTGCCATGTCCCTCCCAAAAGCAGATGTTCTCAATGTACAACAGTCCCAGGTATGCGAGGCAGGATGAAAATCCACCTGACAAAACGCAGAAGGAAAGGAGGGGGGCCCCAATGCAGAGGAAATATGTCCCTCGTGGTGGTGCTGTTCCATCATTGTCAATTAGCAGGAGAGTTAAATCCGTAGCAGCTGGTGTGGGGTATGACTGGAGAGAGGGCACCAAATTGGATGGTTTATCAGTGTAATTCAATACGACAATTTCTGTGGTCGTATCCTGAAGACAGTGGGAAAGGTGGGGAGAGGGAGCAACACCCATGACACACACGAATGCTAACTGGAAGGGAAAGAGGCATTCATTCCTTGTTAGCACATACAGACGTGAATGCACTGATTTATGTAACTTCCCAAAGCCTGGCTGCTGCTGCCCGCAGAACCCTTCTTAAAACACACATCCAAATTAAGATGCCACACAGCAGGCAAATTGCTCCATGTGGAAACTTTGTTTGCAAAGTCAACGTTTTTGCAACAGCTTTTTTAAAGCCCTAAAAAACCCCAAAACAAGCTGCGTGGAGAAACAAATATCCCTGTGTTGCTGGTACCAAGGCCCAGGAGATGATTTTGAGGCAACAGTCTCAGGGAAAACAGAATGTCACAGCAGTTCAGGCTTTCAGGGAACAAGGGTTGGCATCTTTGGATATGGATTCACTAAAATTAATTAAGTCCAGGCAGCACCAAAGAAATTATTTAACAAATGAATCACCTGCCTGAGCACAGCAATTTGGGATTCTGGAACAGAGGGCTACACGTTTCGAGATGAGAGGGGGAGTGTGGGATGTGTTATCCTTCACCCAACATCTTAATGCAGCATTTCCTCTGCAAAGGAAAGTGTGAAAAGTGAAGTTAAAGCTGTGAACCCTGTTTTTTTCCTCTCTCTAGGGCTGGTGACTCTCTTTTACTCAGAGCTACAGCAGACTCGCAGAGGAGCTCTCAGGTGGTGTTATCCATAGGGTAACTGGAATTTTCCTTCTCTGTATGTGTGCACAATGCTCAAATCATGTTAGGGCAGAAATAGAGTTGTTTTGGAGAGCCTTTCCTAGGATCTCATTGAAGTTCCTCTGAAAGAGTTTTCCAGGAGTCCTGCTTATAGAAAAATTAATCTGGTAGTAGTGACAGAAGATGGGGAGGCAAGGGCAAGGCAGAGGGGGCTGAAAGAAGGTTGATTTACAGAAAAACTGTAATAGCTCATAAGACAAGTCTTCATCTGCAAGCCTGGAGAGAGTCATGAGGGCTGGGAGTTGTTAGAAGGATGTGCCATGGGATCAGAGGTAGGAACAGCACGAAAAAGCATTTCTGAAGAGGTGGGAGCAGCAGTCCTGGTTGTTAGCAAGGAATATTTCCTTGCTGGTCTTGAGATGTCACAGACCATCCTAACAACCAGTGGTCTTGGACAGGAGAGTTTAAAAGGAGCTGGAATTTGTCTGCCCTCACAGGAAATGAGTGCTGGCAGGTTTGGGTTGATCTGGAGGAGAAAAGAAGTGTTTGGATGGGTAGAGTTGTTTGTCAGGTGAATTTGCCTCCCTGTGTGGTGCAGCAGTTGCTGTAAATCAGCCTTAAAGAATCTGTGGCTCTTGAATGTGGCCTGCATGTGTGCAGTCAGCGAGGATTTTTGGGGCAAGACCTTTTGATCTGGACCCTGAACAGCAGGACTGGGAGGAGAAAAGGAAAATGGCAATGTTTGCCGAGTGCTGCTCCCCAAATACTCTTTAGGCACATCTTAGTGCAGCACAGAAACAGAAGGGATCTACTTACGAGGCTACGGGTTTCTATCCTTGGATCCTGTTTGAATACACTCTGTCCCAGAGTTGTTTTGCATTTCACCAGGGAGTCTTTTGTCTAAAGGGCATCGCTGCTACAGCAAAGTGGAGCTGTGCCTGCCCCTGCTTTCTCCAGTGGATATCACATTTCATTACCCTGATGAGCCTGAGCGAGTTCTCCCGGTTGTGTTAATTTGCCCACAAGCCAGCCTGTGTCACGTCCGCAAGAAGTCTGTGACATTTTCCAGCCTCCCCCATCCCTCCCGGTTCCGAAACCTCGAATAATAATCACAGCCCTGTCCCTTTTTCTACTTCTTGCTTCTGAAACGGAGGGGCCGAGACATCCCCTTTCCTCAGCGTGCGGGCAGTGTCAGCCCTGGGCTGTGGGAGGCATCCCCCTCCCAGGGCTCAGTGTTGGTGTCCTGGGGGGCTGCCAGGGCTCAGGGCAGGGTGAGCAGAGCAGGGTGGCTTGCACAGCCTCAGTTTTTGTAGTTTGGAGCTCACCAGTGGAAGAGTGCAGTGGCTGGGTTGGCATCGTCCTAAGCTTTGGGCTGGTGTGCGTGGAGGAGTAGGGTGCTCCTATGCGCTTAACACCCTCATACCTTTTTTCCCCTCCCCAAAGCATGGGTGCAGCCCTAAGGAAAGGGCCACACCTCCTTGGACAGTAAATGTTTTAAACCTGGGGTCTGAATGCTGCCGTTTCCTCCACCCCTTGGTTTCGAAGCACTCATAAGGATTTAAATTTAGACGCATGGGGGCAAGTGAGAAGTAAACTGTGTGTGTTTCTGTGGTGCTGCTCCTTCGCCACAGCTCCAGTTCAAATCATATTTTGCATTATGTTGATAGTAGAGAAGAGTTCAGGCTGTTTTCCAAAATGTTTGTATCCAGAAGTGTGAATTGTGGTGGTGAGACACTGAGCAGGCTGCCCAGGGAATGGTCATGGTCCCAGACCTGCCAGAGTTCAAGGAGCACTTGGACAATGCTCTCAGGCACAGGGTGGGATTGTTGGGATGCCCTTTTTAGGGCCAGGAGTTGGACTTGGATAATCCTTGTGGACCCTTTCGAGCTCTGCATATTTTATGATTCTATCAGATGTGCTTCTGCATTTATCACAGAGAATATTAATGCATGTTCTTTTTGCTTTAAATAATGCAACTTCTGCTTTACCTAATGATACGTGATGATAATTTTGCTGTTCTACAAGCCTGAAGCCGAGCCATTGGAAAAGTCATCGGTGCTTGTATCATCCTAACCTTAAGGACAGGTATTAATTTCTCAAGAAATCAAACAAGCTCCAACAGGACAGAGAAAATTAGCTCCTGATTATCGGTAGTTTTGAGAGAGATGGAGGAGTACTCTTTCAAAATACTCCTGTGCTTATTTCCCTCATCCAAGCATCCCAAGAAGGCAGTTCAGCACTGCAAGGCTGCAGCTGTTCCTCCTGCTCTCCACTAGTTTTTAGGCCTTTGGGAGGGATAACCTTGTTCCTCCATATTCATGTTTTTTAGAGGAAAGGTTAATGCACATTGGTCCATAAACCCCACTCCGGAGGCACTGAGAGGCTTTGCACGGAGTACACAAGAGCCTGGAGCACGTGTGGACAAGAGCACTTCCACGAGGAGAAATGATTGAAAGAGAGCTTCAGGATAAGTGTGTGAAAGGGCCTTTGAATGAGTTTGGCTGTAACACAAAGCTGCTCCTGGAGAGCTCTTTGGCAGGAGGAAAGAGGCTCTCGCAAAGAATTCGTTGTGTGTCGCATCAAAAGATGCGGGGTCAGGGATTGGAGTAAGTGGATCTTATTGTAAATGGATCAAAGAGATCCGGATACAGAAACTAGAGTGGAAGATAAAGACAGGGAAGAGTCACCTCTAATGAAACGTGAAGCTCTGAGCACTTAAAATGTGGTGAAGAAGGTCCAGGAGCTTCCCTCAGCCCTAAACAACCGGGATAGTGAGGCAGCAGCTGCAGCAGTGGTGCCTGAGGCACATCCACCCAGATGGAACTGGTAAGGGAGGAGAGGGCAGTACAGGGCACTTGCAGAGGATGCCCAGATGCTCCTGGAGAAAAAGCTGGAATCTGTACAATGTGTGCACAGGTTGACCTGTGGTGGGAAGTGGCCAAATTACAAGGGACAGGTAATGGGCTGTGAAATGCTACAGGGGCTGAAACAGAGATAGAGACGGGGCTTTGGAGCTGTCCACCATCAATGGATCCGTCTTGGATGTGGCTGACCCACCAAAACAGGGCTCCAGCTTGTGCAGAAAAACCACTCTATGAAAAGCCAGTGTACACAAAGGAGACAGAGGAATCCTGCAACTTTATTTGAATAAGGGGAGAGAGTCCACTGGGGCACATCACTGTGAGGTCTCTCTCAGTTTCACAGGACTCAGCCTCTTATCCTAAATTCCTGGCCTCATGTTTCCCTCTTCTTTTCCCTGTTGGCTGACACAGGAGGAAGGTGCAGCCTTCTTGAACTGTCTGTTGCTCATTCCTTCCCTTGAACATGTTATTTTCCTCCAAAATTAGAAGTTCAGGCTGTCTGGGTTCTGCAGACCCACCAGATGTTCAGACCACCTGGGCTCTGCAATCAGCTTGTGCAGGGCCCATTTCTCCTGCTACCCTAAAGTTCAGGAGTCAGACCGGGTTCTGTAACAAACCCTTTTGGCTTGAGATCTGTACAGACATAAAAGCAATTTCGAAGATGTTAGCACCCATTTCCCCTAAAGAGCCTCACCCATGGGGTTGTTTGTAAAGACATCAGCACCCATCTTTCAAATTTAACCTTCAGCCTCCAGGCCAAAACCACATGTGGTGCTTTAAAGGCCTTAGACATCCTCAAGCAAGGCCAACAAGGAGAAAGCGGTAACTGAAGAGGATTTTTAGGGTTTCCTGAGCTGAGGCACCTTCTGAGGTGTTTGCTTCTCCCTCCAGGAGCCTGCAATCCCAGTCTCAATCCCTCACCAGCTATTTAACCTCTGGGGATATCAGCATCCCTTCCTGGGACAAACTAGGACCTACCTCAGCCTAAGCAGAGACAGATGATCTTCAAATGCTCCATGCCTGGCCAGAAGCTGCTGTGGTGGGTGATTTCTAGTCCAAAGAGATTTTTTTTTCTCCCAGCATCCCTCAGAGACATTTTCCTTTGCCCTGAAAGGCTTCCTGCCTGTGTTGAGTCATGCTTGAAGCAGTGCTTGTTAAATAAGTGCCGCTGAGCTCTGCTTTAAACAAATGAAGTTGATTTAACAGGGCTGTAAGATGGCCAGGTATCTGTGTTATTTAAGAGTATTGGCAGTTTGAAGGCCGAGTGCTAAAAGCACTTCATTTTTATTTCAACTCTTAATTGAAAATCAGCTGGTTTGTCTTGTTCTCCCTGGTGCTGCTCCTTCCCTGCTCCCTGCTCCCATCCCCTGGTGATGGGATAAGGGCTGTTAACGCCACACAATGTGTTTGTCAAAAAGTGGCACCAGCCCAGGCTTTCACTTGTGGTTTATTAGTTTAATTAACCAGTCTCAGTGAGTCAGAAATGAGAGAATCTAATGTTTCTTGGGCCGGATCCTTACATCATGTTAAGCCACCTGGTGAAGGCACCAAGGTAAAAACGTGGCTCTTGTGATTAACCTTGACTGAATTCAATAATACTTCAGAGTCACATTATTGCTGACCTTGTGCTTTGCTACCTTCTCATCTTTCTAATTTGTCTTTTCTTCCTGCCTTTGCAATAACAGGCAGAAGTGTTAAAAAATAAAAACCTCCTGCTGCCTCGTGGGAGAGAGCTCCTCTACTCGAAATGATTTTAACTTTTTTTAATTTTTTTTTTTTTACTTTTGGTATATTTCTTGCTATTTGTGTTTTTTCTGGCATTTGTGCACACAAACACTTCCATGAGAATAGCTACTTAAGAGCTGTTTGGAGGTGACCTTGACATTTTTTTAAAATGAATTTGTGTGATGGTGTGCTGAATACTGCCAGTCATCAGGATAATTTGGCATTTGTTCACACTAAAAGAAGTTCTTCCTATGTGCCACCTTAGGAGGTGGTCCTGATGTTTTTCGTAAGAAAGGCAAGGGTTGAAGCTGGGATGTTCACAAAGAAAAGTCTGGGTGCTGCCTGGGCTTCTTTCCAGTGATTTGCTATTCTTTATGGGTGTTGTTTTTTTGTGAGGGTTTTTTGTTTGTTTTTTGGTGGGTTTTTTTTGTGTTGGGTTGTTTGGTTTTCTTTAGCCAACCAGACCTGAGCACCGAGTGCCAAAAAGTGTATGTTGAACACCTCCACCACCTCCCTGGGCAGCCCCTTCCATTGTTTAACAGCCCTTTCTTTAAAGAAGTCCTTCCTGATGTCCAGCCTGAACCTCCCCTGGCACAGTTTGAGGACAGGTATCTCTTCTTTAATAGGAGTTCTGGAACAGAAATGTGGACTCCAGGACCTAAGCAAGTAAAATGCTTGGAAAATACCTTGCTCATCCCAACATCCAGCATTAGGAGCAACCTCTCTTCGTGAGACTTTCACCCAGAAACACCAGCAAGTTTCAAATTTGGTAAACACATCCCTCTGGCTTTTTTGTTGTTGTTTAATCCCGGGGCACGTTGAACTGCCAGCTGTCCTGTTTACCCCATGGTGTAATTTAAGGTGCTGATTGGAGGTGCAGCATCCTTAGGTGAGAATTCCTGGCTACCCAAAACATTTTATCTTGGTGGAATTTGTTCTCTGGTGGATTTATTGAGGATTATCTCCTCTAGAAGGAGATTTAATCTCTCAACTAATGCTCAGCTGACCTGGGTGGTGCATCACAGGTTCCAGCCATTTCTCTGGGACTTTGGGAAAAAGATGCTTACCAGATGGGATGTTTATCTTTCATTAGGAGTGGGTTAGTTCAAGAACGTATCAATAGAGAATTTTCTCTCTGCAGGTCAAGAGGAAATCTACATGTATTTCTAGAAACACAGACAGTGAAACCATTAAATTAATTTGTCTTTGCTTTAATAGAAGTGTTTCTTGCCTTTAGAGAAATGATAATGGCACTAGATTAGTGTATCCAGGAGTACCATTGTGAGTGGCAGCTGTAGAATGAGAGCTTGATGGGACCTAGAATGAAAGAAAAATGTTTGCAATCAGTTTTGTGTTTCTTTCTCCTTTTACCCCGGCTACCTGAGATGTTCAACACATAATTCTACAATTATGTGGTGTATTAAGCCTTCTGTAAGAAACTCTCAAGGTGCTATTTTCATGCAAATAGCTTTGTGTGCTAAATTGAGGAACTTAAGAACCACAGAAAATGCAGGAAATGTGGGCAGAATGCATTCGAAATGGAAAAGTTTCCTGGGAGTTGTCAACAGCTCTTTAAGAAGTCTATTGCCTGCACCTTTCAGCAGCTTTTCTTTGTGATTGCTGGAGGAAAAAAAAAAAAACCCCAACAATTACTGAGCTGAAAAGATTGTAAGTAGCTCTTTGCACTGAGGAACAGCTCTGGAGAGCGATAAAGGAACTAAAGGAACGACGTTCTGCAGCTCGCCTTTCTGGCTTTGGCGAAAATCGAGACGACAACAAAGCCCCACTTCTTTTTCTAGTTCCCACATTTAAAGTAAGAGGATACCCAGGTTTCTCGATGGCTTTTCCTTAAGGTTTCTCTGGCACCTTTTAGGACGTGTCCTTGTGTCTGCGCCTTTCCCTTAGCAGCCAGCGTAGCCAAAGAA